TTACAACAAACTTTTTTTTGCTCAGTTAGGGCAAGGCTTCTGACAAAGAAATATAAAAAAAAATCAAGAACAAATCACTAAATATTTGTCAGGACACGGAGCGACTCTTTGCGGTCATGGGTTAGGCTGTACACAAGAGGGCGGGGCAGAAGAAAGCGGGACAGGCAAGGTTTAGGAACAAAGGGGTCAAAAGGTCATGATTTTTGGCTGGTGCTCAATTGTCAAACCATTGCATTATCTACACAGTACGAGCTTCTGCTCTCGAGGCAAAAGAAAAAAAATATGGGGGAAACTGAAACAGTCCAGATCCTACAGGAGGATCTGGACGCATCGAGAACCCAGAAGTACTGAAATGACTGCATAGAAAATATAGCCTTGAAATAAAGGTACTGTGTACATACTGCAGTGGCTGAGGCAGGAGACCGGCCTTGCTTCAGGACGTCTATACAATAATATAGTAATATCTGAGATGAAAGCAATAATGTGGTTAAATAAGTCATGTTTCGATGCAAGAGCAAGTAAATGCTATAAATCATAATATATCATCTGTATCTTTCCATTCTATGTACAGGAGTTCAACACATACAAAGCTGGTTAGAGTGATTCTTCAGGTCTGGCAATGCTGCAAGAGGCCCTTCCTTCTTCTGAAGCTCAATTTCTGTCTCTTGGCTCACGCCGCATCTCTGTGTTTTTCATATCACTCCATCCTTACTCTGTCGTTCTCACCATCACAGCTGGTAAATCCCTCCCCATGAAGGTTTAATCTCTTTTCCACAATCTGGCTGCCTGCTTTCCTTCCACTACCACTTGTGTTTTTGAATCTCTCTGCTCCTCCTCCTCCTCCTCCTCCTTCTCCTTCTTCTTCTTCTCCTCCCTGTCTGGTTTTACATCCATCTCTTTCTGAAACGTGTTGTTTTCTCCTCAGCTCAGTTTGATCCTTGGCAGATAGGGCCTTTGATCATTTCATGGAAAAATATGCTACATTCACATTTCACAGGTTGTTCAAGTTGACATCAGCAGTCTGTGTGTGTAGTACTTCTTGAGTCAGGTCTGCTCCGCTCGCCCAGCACCGAATGCTGCTCAGCAGAGGTACGGTGAGAGACGTGGACTGATCGATAGCTGACCCTCCGTTGTTACCGCGCTCCTCTTCTTCCTCAGCTTTAGAAAACGCAGAAGATTTAATATCCAAAGTGGGTTCGGGGAGACATTTGATGGATGTCTTGGCTCGTCAAGTTCCGGGTTAGGAGCGAATGATGCATAGAACTGCATCTCCTGGGATCCAGTCTGTCTTCAGTTCCCCGACATGCAACACACAGCTGTTTCTCTTTTTATCGTGTTACTGAAAATGTCTTTCAGTTCGCTCCAACTGTAACAATCCTGCAGGGTAATTAGTAGAGGTATTTCAGTCTTTCGTTTTCTCCATGTGTGTGTATGTGTGCGTGTGTGTGTGTGTAGATGATGCCGTTGTGTATAGGAATATTTTGGCGTGGTTATACACGTGTGGTGGAGTGTGTGTGCGCTGTGATGTGCGTATGCGGCAGGTGTGTATTACTATACGGACTGTGGTGTGTGTAACTCGGGTGAGGATGTCCCATCCTCATCCCCACCACTGAGCCGGGGGTCATGGGGGTCATTGGCGTCGCCGGGGTGACAGGGTGTGACCCTGGGGTCACAGGCAGCGATCCTGGGGTCAGAGACGCCATAAGCGGGACGTCGTCAGGTGACCGGCGCAAGGTGAGGGTGTAGTCCGGTGGACAAGTGAGGCGCACGGTGTCCAGTGTGCTGTAGATGTCCTGGGTGTCCAGACCGTCCAGAGCGTCCAGTGTATCCAAGGTGTGGTGGTGATGAGCGTTGTTTCTCTCGTCGGCTGACGCCGCGTCACACTCGAGCTGTTTCACCTGTGGAGGTCAAAGGGCAGAGAGGTCATAAGATCAGTATCACAGGTGAGAATCATCAGAAACACTGCAGGGAGCTGTGGCAGACCCAGAGCAGCTCCTCACTTACTGCTTTGATTTGTCCGTGAACAACAGCTAAGGACACTAGGACGCGGCTCTGAATGTTGTGGAGTTTAGGATAGTGATGAACCCGATGTGCAAAATATTTCATTCTGATGTTTTTCTCGGGCTGGTTAACAGCATTAGGACACAGAAAAACAGTTCTGGTTGTTGTGGGGTCATGTTTTCATGACTTTTTGGATCACAGTGTCATTTTTCTTTTCAGTCCTTGTCTCACCTGTGGTGTTCATTTAAACTTAAGAGTGTAACAGAAAAACATAGGCAAATTCCTTTCAATTGCAGTTTTATCGTTGTAAAATTTTATAGTATATACACTGTACACAGTAGTTTCAAAATTTAGAGCCACCGACATTGACTTGAGTTCTTCTTGCTTGCGACTAAACGGGAAATAGACACAAAGGTGGACGAGTTCCAGCTCCTAAAATACAAAATTCTCCAGAAAAAAATTGCAGATGTACTTGACACAATATTTCTCCTTCAAATACTTCACACTTTAATTACCTATCAGAGGGACTCATTAGCATGTAGAGCTAAAACCATTTGGGATCAAACCCCTGACCTTCCAGTTTAAAGACAACCCACTGTTCCTACCAGAAATGATCTGTGTAACAGTGGACGTAATGATGCGTGCGGTCAATTGTTTTTCTAACCACGAATGACTTCTGCAGATACGGTGCCACGTTTTTGTCACACCAAAAATGAGCCATTAATTGAATTTCCCATTAAGTCGAGATGAACAAGACAATAAATAATTTAACCAAAGCTGTAATCTAGTTCGGCTCTATTTTTCAAATAAATGTTGCAATTATCCAGACGTTTGTTTTAACAATGGTGATATGCTACGTGTTTGCATAACGAGATGATCAACCAAAGCTCTGTGAATTACATGAAAATTAAACACAGCCTTGTCACAGAACTCAAGGAAGTTCAGTTCAAAGGCCTGGGATCGGTGGACCAATGGCATCACAGAAAAATACAATAGACTTAATGCATATTAAGAAAATGCTAGTAATTTGTCATTATTCTCCAAACCAAAGAGTTTTGTTTTTTTCATATTTTTTCCAGACTCACAGATGCGCTGAAACTAAAAAAAACAAACAAACAACTCACTCAATTTTCATTTTCTTTCCAGGAATAACATCTTCGAAAAGATGAAAACAATTTACTCTGGAACTAAGTGAAATATGCCCATGATGGCAGCTTCAACGGTGAACTGAATCAATGCAGCTGCACTGTCGATTAAGAGTAATGTGAAATTTCACAGCAGCAAACAGCTAAGAAAAAAACCCCAAAAAAACAAATAAAAAACAAACGGCAGGCAGTCAGCGGATAAATTGGAAGCAGTTCACAGATGATATTCGACTAAGCAGACACAGCTCTACATGCACACGCGTCGACACACGGCATGACAGCTACAGACACACACGCCCACACAAACTCACATTATCACACTAACAATGCCTGCCGATGACAGGCTGTGTTGTGCTCTACTGGCAGCTGCTCCACTGCCATAGAAAGGAGCTCAGCCACAGCCTCATCTGGCTACAGATTACGGACTCTTGAAATAAAATGTGACATTATTATCTCTAAGTACAACAAATGTAATCATTTATTCATTCATACGCACTTGAATGTTTCAAAAAAAAAAAGAAAATGGCAAAAGCTAAAAGTGACTGCCCATTAATGCATGACTCAACCCACTTCCTGATACCATGCAGACATGGGCTGCTTTTGGCAGCGATGCAGAACTGCTGGTACCATCTGGCCCAAACATAAGGGATGTGAGTCTTAAGTGGCAAAATGGAAGAAAAAAAGACAATTGTGGCTGAAATATCTGAGATATGAACATGAACCTTGGCTGACGGATACAAAGTGTTCTTGGCAGCGAATCTACTCTGGATGTCAACTTAAAATTGTCCTTATTCAAGTCACTTCTCTTTTTTATTTTTGGCTAACGTGTGCTAGTGCTGTGGCCAGGTTGTGGCCCAGATCTGGCAGACGTGGGCTGTTTGAGCTGTTCTTCAACAGTGACAGGAGTTTTTATTTAACCCAGACAAGCTGTGGGTGTTTCCAGATTTAGTATCATTGAAGACAGATTTTTTTCTGATCAGTGGCTTTGTAAATAGACGTTTTAAGAAGGGACTCTAGTGTCATTTTTCACCGTCTTGACCTGATTTATTGTCACTACAGTGGGTTCACTGATGTGTTGGTCTTAAAATTGGGGTTACGTTTTTCAGGTGATTAATATTATGTGACCTTGGTGTCTAAATGAAATGTTAACTTGATTTGCTCACAAAAAAAAAATACACAAGGACTGAACACAGCTGTCAAACAGACAGCTGTGTTCAGTCCTTGTGTATTTTTTTTCTGAACGCCTGGTTTCTGTGTCTTTACCTTTAAATGGTAATGAGCCACTGTGGGCCGCGCCCACTTCTGTGGGCCGCGTCCACTTCTGTGGGCACGTAACTGTAGCTGTGTAACCATGGCAACGTTGACAGGAATCTGTAAGCCCTGAGTGTTTGCATTTGCAAACAAGGCAACACCACACAAACACACACACACACACACGTGTTTGCTATCTCACCTGCAGTGACATGAGTCCTTCTCCCTGTAAGTGGGCGGCAACATCTGCTGGTGTGATATCTCGTCTCGGAGGAGGAAGTGGGCGGGACCTACGATGCTCCAGACGACGCTTATCTTTCTTGTACAGCAGTGCCGCAAATGCCAGAATGTTGAGAAACAAAAGGGAGGCTCCCACGGCGATGGTCACGGAGAGCTCCGTGGAGTAGTTCTCTGGAGGGATTCGATCTCCATGTTCCCCACCACCTTGGCCGGCAGCTGTCTCCGGGGGCTGCGGGGTTCCTCCCTGAGAACCCGGGTGTCTGGTGCTGCTCGGAGGCCAGCCTTTGGACAGACGTTTAGTGTAAGAATAAGGAGTGTCGTCCTGCGGAGAAGGACTGTGTGTGAAGGAGGACACCGATTGGAGGAGCTCATTCACGTGATGCAAGTGCGGAACCAGCTGGAGCCAGAAGGAGATTTTTGTGGCGCGGTAGTGATCTCTGACCCGGGGTTTGAGGCCGATGTGAAGATACAGCTGCTCCTTTGGCGTGTACTTGGACCAGGCCACTTCTTCGAAGCGGTTTGGTTTTGTGTGGATGAACTTGGTGTCCTGGGGAACCGGCTGGTTTGGATCACTACAAAATAGAAAACCAAAAATTATTTATTCACTTTTATTTATCTTCTTTTTTTTTGTTTGCATCATATTTAACTTTAATGGCTCTGTGCCCCTCATGAGTCACCTGCCCCCTCAGTTGAGAACCACTGATCTACGTTAGCACAGAAAGCATCACAGATTGTTTCACATACAGGCCTTACAGTACCAGCAAAGTCTTCCAGACCCCCCCCCCCCCACAAAAAACAAACACAGACACTGTGATACACATGAGGCGTTTTCCATGTACCTTGTAAAAAAAGAAATACTTTACTGTATTTTTAATTTTTAATTTACAGTTCTTAAAATGTCAGACAGCAGCCACCGTGCTGGCTCCTGTCCTAAGAGAGAGGGAAAGTATGAGATTTTCTCCAGCCACACAAATACCACTGATCAATATCCACACACACGAACACACAAACAGGGTTTATGTTTCTGTAAACGTAGCTCAGAGATGGTTTAGTTTCAGATCAGTGCTTAAAGTCAACACACCTCACATTTCAGTTAATGCACTGTTACTGGTCAAACACCTCAAATTGTTGTTTAGCCTTTTAGCAAAAGCAACAGGCTTCCAGTGAGAGTGAGTGTGTGAAACCACTGTGACTGTGTCACATATGAGCAAACATTTATTTGTCGATTTTCTGACTTATTTCTGCAGCCAGCAGCTGAAATGTGGCAAATGAAAAACAGCAGAAAGTCGACTCTTACACACTTGCCGGTTACAGGATCTGGCCTGTCAATCAGCCGCTTCTGAGCAGAACCGAGAGGCAGTCTGTGTAAAGAGCTACTGGCAGACAGACGCAGCATTTATTCAGGAAATACACGCTGGGAATCATCAAGCACACAATAGTGAAGCGGGCTGTCGCGGGGCTCCTTCTGATCTGAACTATTCCTGGCTACGGACAGGAGTGTCATGAGGGACCGCTTCCTCTGCTGCAGCCGTGGTGACAGCACGGACTAGAGCGCCAACACTGTGTCATGTCATTTCCTGAAAGCACCTGCGTTCAAATCCTCAGTCAGATATGTGCGCCTGCTGTCCTGATTGTGTTCCGTGCGTCTGTGAGATAGTCGGGCTCCTCAGTGATTTAGATGAAGGACTTGACTGTACTGTAGATGCCAGTGTAAATCTGAAGAAGGTCTCTGTTGAGTGAGTCTCGATTGGATTCATTACTGGTAATTACTCACTTCAAGCGCAGCAGAGAGAGGGTCGGTCCTCAACAATTACCTTTATCTTGTGTACATCATGTCAGAGCGGGGAGATTAAACTAAGTTTTATCATTCTGGATTGCCAGGTTTAAAACATTTAAAGGTAGATTTTTTTATATATATAATTATTATTATTACAGGAAAAATATTTTTTCTTTTTAATATTATATGTAATCATTCTGGCATATTGACGTATTGTCTCTACTCTTTTGTTTCTCTTTTGTTACACAATCATTTTTGGTATAAAGATATTACCTCGGCTTTACGCAGACCTTTGTACAGCGCTTCGAATACTGTGTTTATTTTTTTTCCTCCACTACACCCCTGGAGCAGATCCCTTGAACGTGTTTGTTCATTTTGATTTAGACTCAGACCTTTGACTGCATGTGAGTTAGAGACTGTTTTAAAGTTAGTGTCATTTTAGTTGACACAATATCAAAATGGCTAAATTTAAATAGGATATAGTCAACAAAAATACACAATAGATGGTTTGATGGACGGACGGACAGACCTTCAGACAGACGGACGGACGGACGGATGGAAGGACTGACAGACGGACGGATGGATGGATGGATGGATGGCATTCGAATTGGAACGTCAGCAAAGCAGAGTTAGAACAAGTGTACTCGGTGCAGCGGTGTGGTTTTAACATCCACTGCATCAGTTTGACAACTCAGCACCAACGTTACAGACGTCCACAGGCAGAATTACACCGTGACTAGTCAAAGTGACTGTTACTAATTTCTGTAATTCAGTTTCGACTGGTCAAAATTGAATTTTGCAACGTTTCAAAAGTCATTTTGACTCATCAGATTTGTTGTGCTTTACAGCGGTTAATCAGCACATAAATTGTTTGAACAGTGTTGGCAGAATGAGAGGCTGTGGCTTTTGCCAAGAATATTGTTGGAAATTGCATTTAAAAAAATCCAATCCAACCTGGAAATAAAGTAGTGAGAAAGAATCACTGACATAGTCACACATGTATATGTAAATATGCAGGTATGTGCACCTACTGTATAGAGATTGCATTTTCTCCCTGTGTGTGAGTGGGATTTCCTCCCACACACCATAAACTGAATTGTCCAGGGTCTGACCCTTTTTTTTTGCAAATATTTACAGCTGATATTGATGAAAAGTTCTCTGCGATCACCAAACTCATTAATACCTATTCTAACGTACACTGACATTTTGTCATTTGACATTTCGCCGTAGATATGCTAATGTGGCCGTTGAGCATGGCAAAGTTGACTCTCTTATACAAAACACCATTATCCTGTAAGCTGGTTATATTTTTGGGAATATTTGGAATATTTTGATGGTTAAATGTTGCTAATTTAGCAGAAAATACTTCTGGTCTTTCTTGCCTGCTCCACTTTTCCCTCTAATTGTGTCTAACCTATTCAAATAAGCAGCATATTAATATAATTTGCTGGACGTAAAGTGTTCAGCGCTTTGATAATCAGACATCGTTATCTGCTCACAGTTGCTCAGCGTCCTCAATTGTCTCTTTAAAAAAAAAAAAACTCTGCACTTTACAACCGGGCTAATGTTCAGGGCTCACAGAAATAAACGAGGAGATCTTATCGATTATACGGGGAGGCAGTGAACAGTTTCTCTTGATAACACCATAGATTTGAATCTTGGCCGTCTCATTTCTAGCTTGGAGGAGAATCGTTCCTGTGAAATCAGCAGTGAGCTGGCCACAGTCACAGCAACAACACTTCACTCAGCCAAAACCTCGTCTCCACAGACACTCGAAAATAAAACAATGGGGGGGGGGGGGGGGTGTTTTGCAAGTACAATGGCTCATTCACTATAATGAGATAGTGTCAACATAAAGGTTTTGATGAGATATCATTAACAAATGTCTGACTTTTAGGATTAGAACACGTGACTAATGCGACTAATGCAAACAGGAACAGGAAATCGCTCATAGAAACATATGGTATTGTAGTTTAAAACCTACCCAGTCTTGGCAAAGTTGGTCCAGTAAGTCATGACTACGGCGCTCAGCATCACGTCGTTTTTGGAAAAGTTACAGTTGAACAGATCAGTGGGTCCCAACATTGGCACGCCGAAGACGTAGGGCACCTACACACAAAACACACAGGTTTTTAAATATGCAGTCAACAGTTGACCATTACGACACATTAGTCATTAAGCACAGTGAACTGGACTCAGACTGATTTGAAGGAACTTTTACTACGTTTTTTTTTTTTCCAAATTGAACAGAAAGTGAACTTCCTTCGTCATTTGAGCTCAACCCAAACCGCAGTCAGGACACTTGAAAAGAAAATGATAACAAAACACAGCCAGCTGAACAGAAAGTGAACAGAGCTTTTATAACATTACTTCATTTAAATTGAAAACACTGTCTTCTTCAGTAAACAAAGTGTTGTTTTATCTAATCAGTCTTTATCTTTAAATGGGTCTCATCAAACAGTGATTTGATGAAGAGTAAACATTAGTGAATCCAGGTTCCCAGGTGTTTTTGTAAAGTAATAAATCAATTATTTCACAGATAGTCTTGATCCTGTCGTCGTCATTTTAACTTTGTCAGGAATAACAATGTGGTTCCTCTGGGAATTGAACCCAGGACTCTCTGCTGACATTGTTTGTCTTTCTAAATAAACAAACCCTGGTACTGAGACACTGAACTACAGTTATCAACACTAGCTAGCTGAGGTGAGACTGGTTGTAGTGAAAAATCTGTGCATTTTAGAGTATACTGGTACTGGTATAAGTTCCTATTACACTGTGGCATCTTCTTACCTCATCACCATGGGCGGAGTCAGCCCAGGGAGGAGTGGCGTCACTCTGGCAGTGGTGGTAAAATGAGTAGAAGTAAGTGGGAGAGCCGTACTGAGCGTGAAGATCTGCTGTGGCCACTGCTGGTGCCACCCATTGGTGGTCTGTGAAAAGTGCTACCAGAGTCTTCCTCCGAGTCTCTGCGTTGTCACGGTCTGCCCAGTCTGTGTACATGAACCTTTGATAGAACAAAAAAAAAGATCAGGTAAATTCAAAATCTTTCTCACTTCAATTTGATAGATTTGTTTTGGTTCCATTAAGGGAGTCTTCTTCCTCCAAAGTCTCACTCACCTTATGCTCTCTCTCAGTGTGTCTCGACCTTCTGGGTATCCGTACAAACTATCCACAAAGTCTGACACAGCAAAGTCAAAGTCCTCAGCAGTGACGCCGTCCTCCGAGTCCACAATGCCCTCCACGAACTTCACACCTTCGCCCTGGTTGACCCCCAGCATCACGTCATAGTTCAGAAATTCTCCTTGCTCCATCAAAATCTGCGGGTCGTCAGGTATCACGTCTCCATCAATCACTGGCGCAAAAGCTGTGTGATACTTGGCCGGCGTTATGTTCTGCTCCACCAGTTCCCTGTAACTCCGGCCCTGGAGGCAGGCGACCAGTTGTGTGCTGTCATCGATGCCACAGCCCACTCTCTCACCAAGCTGCCGGGCGTACTTGCTAGGCTGGTAGTTAACAGCCCAACTGGCTAACGCACTGCCACTCTGGATGATGGCTCTGTGGAACAGGTCTTAGACACACGGACACACGAACATGTAAATAAGCAGCTGTGTGGAGCGCTCAGGCTCACCCATGTATGTGTTTATGGCTGCACAGGCATGAATTACCCTACGTTTGCACACTTGCAGCTGTAACACAAGACTTTCGTAAGCATGCTTCACGAGCGATTACACAACATAAAAACACTGAAATGACACGTGTACATTATTTAAAAGTTGGCCAGGTCATGGACAGAGCGCTGGGTTCCAGGAGGAAATGACTAAAACAGCTCCAAGCTGGAGTCACAAGAACACAGTTTTATTTAAAACCACTTATTTTGACATTTGGAGAATTTAAATTTCTTTTATTCTGACTAGTTAAAAATATTTGCAGTAATTGTCTTTAGACATTACTGGGCAGCCTGTGTGCTCATCTGCAGGGATGCTACCCTTTGTGTGCGTTTTCTTCTGTTTCCTGGTTTGAACATTTTTTAAATTAACATTGTTGAAAGTAATGAGACTTAGATGATTCTTAATCTCTAATAAAAAGCAATTGTTGTGAAAGCAATCATTCATCAAGATGAATTGAAATGACGATTAATCACCATTTTCAATTTTTAATCATTGACTGCACTCCTAGTAATAAATTAACAATACTTATAATATATAATAGAGCCAGTAACAAGAAAATCGGTTAAGTTTAAGTTTTTTTAAGTTTTTTAGTTAGTTAGTAAGGAGCGAGCAGCCAGCAGAACAGTGAAGGTTTCTGTCCATGATTCTGTCTTACCTTCAGAGTAATGGGACAAGGTCAGGAGGCTGACACAGGAGGCTCCAGCGCCGGATCCAAACACTGTGACTCTGTTTGGGTCACCTCCAAAGGCTGCTATGTTCTCCTTCACCCACCTCAGAGCCTGAATCTGGTCCAGTAATCCATAGTTCCCTTTGGCTGCCTGGTCACCGGTACTAAGAAACCCTGCAGACGGAACAGACGTGTGATGTCATCACAGGTCATGCTGCGCCTCGTTTAACAATCTGCATGTGATGAAAGTCCTTTAGAAAGAACCTCCTGCACACGAGGCTACATACATTTAATCTTACATGGAGAGTGATGCTCAGTGTGAGATGAAATCAACTAAACCCCAGTGTCAGGATCAATTATCCACAAGTCTCATTTAACATAACTTTAAAGGGAATATATGTAAAAGGGGAAAAAAAGAACATGTACTTTGCTGCAATTCCTTTGGAGATTAAATCGAATCACCCAGAGACCTTCATGTTTATGTAAACGAATATCAGCTCGCACACACGCACACACACGTGGCTCCGAGTGCTCTCCCTTATTCCCTTTACTGCTGACTTTATTAAGTAAACACAAAGAATCCTAATAGCTGGCTCCACTACAGTATATCTCGTTACTGCAGAGACTCACTTGTTTGAACTTCAAGTTGGCTCCAAACACACAGGAATATAATGAGCAGGAAAGACAGCGTTCTTAAAGGGATATATTTCATGACTTTTGTGCACGGTTTTTTGATTGGATTGTAGCAACAGCTGCGTTGGCCCTCACTGAGATGATGTTTGTTTTCTTTACATTTCTGCAGTAATGCGCCTGAATACCAGATGTATACACACAGACCAGGGCAAAAATAACACAATATGTATGTAAAGTAAATGTTGTGTTGCACATTGGTACATGTATGGGCTCACCTTGCTTTTGATGACAAAGGAGGAAAAGGCAGACACTGCAGTTGGTGATGATGGATGGTGGACCATCATGATGATGATGATGATGATGATGATGATGATGATGATGATGATGATGATGATGATGATGATCATATTGACGGTGGCATTGAAACCAAGTGTGGACATGGAGACAAAATGATGCAGTTTTTTAAAGAACACAGTTTTCTCACACCCACAGAGCAGATGCAAATTTATTCCATCTTAAAATAATTAACATTTAACCAAAGCCTTAAACAACCAACGTGGATCTCATTAAGTCGTTATCATTCAGTTGTTGGTTCTTCTGACATTTCAACACATCTCCAGCCCTGCGCTTTTTAAAAGAAATATTTTCATTCTAATTAGGCAAGAACAATTATTGGATTTTTGTTCCCTGTGAGTGGAATTTGTATTACCCTGGGTTTTGTGCAAACATTATCTAGAAATCATTCCAAAAGGGCACAAAACAACAGCAAACTAACAAAAATAACAATAATAATGATGGCACACTGAATAATTTAAATGGAATTAGCAGCCAAACACTTTGCAAATCTTCCACTCCTTCTTCTCCTAGCACCTTGAAGGAATTCAACTCAAGTCATTAACATATAAAGAAAACCAAATCTTACAGTATTAAAATGTTTATATATATACACATAAATAAACGTATCTGTATTCTTGCAAAATATATTAATATTAAGATACCATTAAAGTACATTTACAGATCTATCATAATTTCACAAATACTCCTCTGTTGATCATGAGAATAGGCTGTTCTATTTTCTTCATTTCTATAAAACAAGTGTGAAATTAGATAAAATGACTGAGAAATTGAACGTAAAATACATTTACATATTCACTTATTGTTTCGTAATTTTACTGAAATGTATTTCCTAATTGAAAAATATCTTGTGCAATTTGTGTCATTTTCATGATAATATTATTTTGACCTTTTTTTTAGTTTGACATTTTTAAAGTTTATATTAATACTGCATACGATTTGTTTAACTTTATAAATTCTAAATTCAATTAAAGAACATGGAATTATACACCAGTACAGAAAAGGTGCTGCATGCGGAGATTTCGTGAACTTGCTGGCTCATCTGAATTAATGTGGCCACATAAATGATTAAACAGCAGGAAGCCATTAATTAAAATGAGGACATGATTTAACCCGGCCAGTGGAGTGACACACATCTTATACTCAGACTTACTGTAATCAATATGAGGCTGCGCACACACACACTGCTCATTACTCATGCCCTTGGTGTAGTACAGTGACTGATGTCTTTAAAGTATGTTTTTAGGAATTCTCTGGCCACGCCCAGATTTCGTAATCTTTTTATAATTACATCTACAAAAGGCCTAAAAAATGACTGCCTGGATCCTGAGATATCCCTTTAATTCCAGCGCTGAGTTTTTGCTATAGTTGCCTAAAAATAGTCAAACCACAGGGGAAAAGATTTTCACCTGTTCAAGAAGCAATGAGTCAGACAGCCATTGAGGTAAAAAAAAGAATCAGATTGGCTTCAGGGAATATTAATCCACTCAGGACACTCATTCTCCGCACATTTTCACTCCTAATAAATAAATAAAGTAAAATAAAGGCCCGATCTGTAGAAACAACTCCAATAGGTTTCACATTTCATTGCTCATTGAAAGAATAAATAATCCAGATGGTGAGCGCAGTATAAATTTGACAAAATGCAATGAAATGCTGTGTTGATCCATAAAAGAGCGTCTCTTTTTATGTACAAAAAAAGTCTAAATCTCCAAAGACCTTCAGCCAAAAAGGAAATGGATACAGGAGCTACAATAAAGCAGAAAGTTTCATTTACAAGCTACCAATGCTTTAATGCTCCTTGTGTTGTAAATAAAATAGCGTTAAATAAATAATATTGTCATTCTGCCAGTAAACATTACTAGACTAAATCTCTTAATCTTCCTCTTTTTGAAATCTTCACATCACATTTCTAACCCATTCATTGCACCTGACGGTAGGTTTGTGACATCAGTGATGTCATCAGGTCGCCCAGCCTGGCAGTAATTGCACCTCTGTTGTCCCAGGATTAAAGATGAGGTGCCGTTGAAGAATCACTGAGGCCATTTAAAATCTAGCGCCGTAGATCGCTGCCCGCATTTGAGGCTGTCCAATTACGTGCAATTGCCACTTAAAAAAGCAACCCCAGAGGTGCAGAGAGTGTGTATTTATCACTGCATTAATTGATTGCTCAGTGTCGATACATAAGTAGGCCACCACAATGGTAGATTAAATGAAAACACGCTGTAGAGCAGGTTGGCCAGATTTATATACTAAAAGCCCAGCAGATTACAGTGGAGGGAAAACAAACAACAACTTCATTTATTTTTCATTAAAAGAGAGGATTTACCCAGTACTCCTAGCCGGTAGTTGAGGGTGATGACAATGACGTTGCCGTAGCTTGCCAGAACGCTGCCATCCATCATGTTGCCTGTGCCTTCTGTGTACGAGCCACCGTGGACATAGACCATCACAGGCCTTAGATCCCCCTCCTCATGGATGTCTGGAAAAGATGGGAAATGTGTTTATAACGCTTGTGGTCAATATTAGTAAAAATACATCTATATCATGTAACCTTTGGTATTTATGATATTCAAGATTTATAAAAAAAAAAAGGTAAAGTAAAGTACAACTGCAGCAATTTAAAGTGAAAACTTCTCCATGAATATAAAAGCAGCATCTCATATGTCATCACAAACATCAATAATATATATGTGGAAAGACAAGGGTCCTGGAACAAAACCTTGAGGAACACCTTTTCACTCTGGGTGAAGAGAAACTGAAGGAAATCCCAACTGCACATGTCGTTGTACGACCTAACATATAGGTTAATAATAGATTAACATTAGAATCAAAATTGCTGAAAATCGTTTTTACAGCACCGTCGCACAGACCATTAGTGTCAACCACAGTGTAAGTGGTTTTAGAGGTTTAAGATACTTTTTTTTTTTTCACAGAATTTCCAGTGGTAGCTGTGGTTTTTGTGAAGCTGTTTTTAAAGATCAGGTTAAGGATCATGAGTTGCTTTACAACGTCAAGAACAACAGAACTTAAAAGTGTCTGTGTATTTCCACAACTGCTAAAATGACCAGGAAAACAAAGCCCAAAACCCTCCGTCCTTCCTTAAACCTCTGTGAATCATTTGTTTAAATAAATGTTTCTGTCGACTGCCTGTTAGTGACCGACTCACAATGTGTCTATTTATATGTATCTGGACCTTTGATCACTATGTGCTCTTATACATAAAGGAGCAGAAGTAATCTATGTGTGTGTGTGGAGGAGAGGTTCCATTGCAAGTCTGTGAACCAATATGTATGCATGAGTGAGTCTGTGTCCTTCCCACTTTCCTCTGTTGGCACATAACGCAGGTGTCTGCATATTAAGTTTTTGTTTCAGCCGGTGGCACGCAGCTGATGCAGACAGGAGTGTCCCAGAAGTATTTCTTTTTAAAGAAAAATAATAATATAAATGATGGATTTTATTTATTTAACATCAAGCCCACACGTCAGTGACGTGAAGTAACTACACCGTCTTCGGTTTATGACAAAGTTTCAGCCCTATGCAGTCGTGATCACTCTGTACCATAGTTCTGTACCATAGTTCATGTCCTTGCAAAAGTATGAGATCATAGCATTTAGAACGTCAATCTCCTGCTAGCTCTCATTTATTGCGAGGACCAACTTGATTAATGTGTAAAAGGTCTAAAACGCTCTGCTGGTCTGCAGGGCTGACTCTCTTTTTACTATGTGCGCCTGAAGACTGACTTGGTGTTTGATGAAAGCGAATTCTCCGGCTTCCCTGACAAACCGTGAACGTGTTAATTATTAATGAGTTGAAGCAAGCTGTTCGTGGTAACTCTCTTTGCAATTCACGACCCAAATATTTTATAATAATAAGTTTTTTTTTTGTTTTTTTTTTTTGCTCACAGTCCAATTTCTGTGATCACCAGAAGTCCATATATGGCTCTGCTCTGAGATCTTTCTTGAATATTTTTGATTCTTTAAAATTCTATTGTGTATGATCTTTGCATTTGAGGTCTTTTACTGAAGTGGTGCATTCTGTGGCTATCACATGTGAGGTGACTGTTAAAAACATGGAGCTGAGTTCCTAGCCATCAGTTCCTGAATAGTTTTCTCTAAAACAACCTGACAAAACGCATACAAACACATGAATTCACTCCAATGAACTTTCTCTTGGTCGACTCACCGGCTTCAGTAGGAACGTAGATGTTGAGGTAGAGACAATCCTCACTCTGGTGAGTGAGATATGTTGCCGCTATATCCAGGTTAGCGGTGAGCCAGGAGGGCATCATATCTCCCAGAATGCTCCGCTCGTCCAGTGACTGTGGGCACACTGGAGCAAACTGTGTGACATTTCGTATGCCCGGCCAGGGCAGAGGTGGCTCCGGGGGCTGGAATCTCCTGTCTCCCGTCGGGGGCCGTGCATATGGAACGCCTAAGTACTGAATGACAGGACCGAGAAGGTCTGAGGGGAGGGGGATCAGCATGCCGCGGATACGGCCCTGTGCTGTGGAGATGACTGGCACAGTCTGCTGCCCAGACACCGGAATAATGTGAAAAGAAAGACAGAAGGAGAGTAGGAGTAGTAGAAACCCAAACGGCAGAGAAAACGGTAAAAGAGGAGCCGAAGAAGACTTTCTCCTGGACCACAGCTCGGACATGGTGGTGTGTTTGGGAGCAGCCACACGTTGATGGACGGGGGAGGAAGGTCGCCTTCAGAGGTATTCAGCACTTACACAAAGCTGTTGCTCTCTTTGACCCATAGCAAACAAAACGGCCTCTATAAAGGTCTTGTGAGCAGCCTTCTCTTCTTGTGTGCACGTCGGTGTCCGAGTGCGAGTGAGTCACAGATTTAGTGGCTGTGAGTGCAATGACTCAGTTAGAGAGTCCCTCGAAAGTGTGCCTGCATGCTGTGCATGTTTGTGTGTCTAAATGTGTCCGTGTGTGTGTGAGAGAGAGAGAGAGAGTGTGTGTGGAAGGTTATGTAAACAGTGGCATCACTGTTCCTCGCTGTCACTCTCTCCTTCCGGTCAGACCCATAACAAGCTCAAAGTGTCTCCTGAAAAAAAAAGAAGAAGAAGCAGAGAGACAGGGAAAGATTTTAATTCATCTCCATTAGAGAAATCAGTGTAAAATAAATACCTACACACACACACTCAGACACACACACACACTCTCCCTCACTCATGGCTGAGTCGTGTATGACATCAGAGGGATCTGTTACCTCACTGCCGTCCATGATAAAAATAGACATGAAGCTAATGAGATGTTGTTCGCTTAGTTTAACTTGGCTTTGCCTCGCCAGGACACGGTGTGTATGGACAGTGTGTGTGTGTGTGTGTGTGTGTGTGTGTGAATATCCGCATATCCTCGTACACTATGCACTGTTTCACTGCTTAAGNNNAATTAAACCCTGAAATACGCTGCAGGGCTTCTGACCTGCGTGTAGCATAAGGTAGAAAGCCTGTGACCGACACACACACACACACACACACACACAGAGCAATACTTGCATGTAAACACACACACACACACACACCTTCATTTTGAGCCTTAATAATAGGGACAACTCTTCTTTTTTTTTTCGCTGTAGCTTTTAAAGATGCACACACACACACACACACTTTTTCTGATCTCCCTACTGCTTACACACAACCACTAGTCCTCTATCTCTAGCACTCAAACACAAACACACACTCAAACACACACTCACACACACAGCTGCTCCCTAGTCGACACAGCTATCTCTCAAAGGCCTTAGGGCAGAATATTAAGGCTCAGGCAACACACACGCACAGAGAGAACAACATCAATGTCCAGGTCCCCCCCCCCCCCATGCACACACACAGAATAAGAGAGAGAGAGGGAGAGAGAGAAAGAAAGAAAGAGAAATTCACTCAAATCTAAGTATTCCTCCAAGTCCAGTCCGTGCTGCTCATGTTTTGTAGTGCTGTTTTTGTAGTGCTGTTTTTGTAGAGCTGTTTTTGTAGTGCTGTTTTTGTAGTGCTGCTGTGGAGCTCGGCTCTGCTGCTGCTGTCCAAGGTGCTAGTTAACATTCCAATGGTGATCACACACACGCCGATGAATAACGCTCCATTTATCAAGACAAACCCGCCTGCCACCCTCACCCCTGCATATATATTTTTTTTCCCACGCAGGAAACAAAGCAAAGTGAAATGTATTAACAACATTTAAGACGGCTGACGGGAGCGGAGACAGAAATACGAGCGTGTGTGTGGTCGGGAAAAGGCTCTTTACTGGGGTAGAGGTAGAATCCCCTGTCTAAAGCTGACTACGGCAAAAACAGCCTCACTCAAATGTAAAACCTCAGCCTGCATCCCCGCTGCAGTTTGACTTTAATTGCCTTAAAATGAAAAAACGTTGAATATACTGCACCCGCTGTGGAAATGAGGTGTGAAATCCAGCGGACCATATTCCAGTTTTTCCAGTTCCACCGCAATTTCTGTCCTCGTGTGTTTTCCTGCTGCTGCTGCTGCTGCTGCTGCTTGTCCGACGTGTCCGGGATGGGATGTGGAGAGATATTCCTCTATCGTCGCTGCTGCTGCTGCTGCTGCTGCTGGAGATGGTGGTGGTGGCACGTCTCCCGGGAATAACGCAAAAAAGAAACGGAGGGGAGGGAGGGGGACGAACACAACCCTCAAGCCAACAGTCCGGGTAGAGAAATTATGAGTCGGATAAGGAAAGGGAAATGTGTTTGGTTTAAAAAAAAATAAAATAAAAGAGAAAAAGAAAGTAAAAGGAAAAATAAAGTGTTTCTGGAGAAATCTAAGGCCCAGGACGGTTAAATGATCAATCCCCCCCTCTTCCTCTCTTCTTTCTCGCTGTCTCCTCCCTCCCCCACTCTCTTACTCTTTCTCTCTCTCTTACTCTCTGTCTCTTCTTGTCTCTCTTACTCTCCCTAGATGCGATTGGACAGTGTGGCAGGCAGCAGCTACTGATCCAATGATAGGCCAACGCACCTACAGCTTCACACAGACAGAAACATGTAGGAGAGAGGGAATGACCTGTGCAGAACGAGTACACACACACGTATATATACCGTATATATATATAATTATATATATATATATAGAGAGAGAGAGAGAGAGAGAGCTGGCTGAGCCATTCTGGACAGGTCGCTGCACTGACCCCCTCCCCCCCCCTTTATTGAGACGGCCCCTGCAAACCCCTAACCTAAACCAGAGAGAGCTCATTTATATCCCCTGCTTTAACCTAACTGTAGTTGACTTCAACCTCTAACCTTCACCAGTGCAACACAAACGATGTTGAGCCTCATTACAACCCAACTCTAACCCCCCCCCCTTCCCCCCCGAGGACAACAGGTCCTGACAGAACTACTGTTTATACAAGCAAAATGAAAAAACAAAAAACAGTTGCTGTTTTTTACGACACAAGCAACGTTGTCGCTGAAAGGACTCCCAGCCTGTAGACGGCGCCATCACATTTGCACACACATGTGAAACTGTGAAGTAGTCACTTTGAATTTTTGAAATACCTGTGGTTGACAAACCTATTTGTTAGAACATGCACCACCACCACCACAACACAACAGTCTTCTCTTAATGTTGGTGCTAAAGTCCACAGTGACCTCGTCAGGACAAAAGCACCAGACTCTGTCCCAATTCCACTTAGTTCCGCCTGGAAGCAGCTTTTTCCTGTAGGCACTGTGTCCGTGTGTGTGTGTGTGTGTGTGTGTGAAGCGGTTCAGTGTTTGGGAACACTCCTCACGTCAGCACAGCCTGCCGCAGCAGCAGCAGCAGCAGCGTTCAGGACTTTCTATTCCTTTCCTCAACAATCCTCCATCAACCCATCCATCTCTTTGTCCGCCTGTCTGCCTCTCTGTCTGCCCAGGCACTTGTTTGCTTATTCCCCTGTTGCCCTCTATCCTGATTTCCCCCGTTCTCCCCCATTCTCACTCTTTTAAAACAGGTTGTTTTATAAGAAGGCGTTAGAAAAGAAGTCATTGTAGGTCAGTTGGCGGAAAAGCAGAATCTGCGGCGAAGGGATTTCAGATCATACAGAAAGACAACACTGATTTATAGCCGTGGGGGCTCCCGACTGAAAAAACCTTGTCACTCTTTCTTCTTAAGTTATGAACACAAGGACGTATAAATCAAGCTGCAACAATTTGCACCATCTGGAGTCAAATCATGTCCTCTCAGCTGGGAGAGATAAATTAGCTTTAGCAAGTTTAGAGGCAAACAGAGTCACGTTTGGTTCTGCGTCAAGAATTTTGCACAAATGAAGTACATGAGAATATTCTGCAGCGCTTCTGAAAGGTCAAGCTGGAGGGGGGAAAAAAAGGATGCTGGATGTTTACCGTGTTGATGGAGGATGAGTGCTGATCTCAGAGTTTGACTTTAAATCAATCGCAACACTAACCCAGTTTGGACAGAGTGTGAGGGCTCAACATTAGCCCTTGCTAATGTAACTGGCCGACAGAATGACGTTTTCACTGCCAGATACAGATTACATCAGGATCTGTTAGTATGGCAAGCCTTAGTACCTGGACTGTGAGGGACACAGTGTCCGCTGTTTGTCATCAATCTTTCCAACACCATTTTCCTGCCAGCGTATGTCAGCCTCGCTACTACAGTCTGCAAGCTAAAAACTTTAGAGAGCGTCAGATAGGAAGGTCCACAAAAGGAGGATGTTCAGTCATTACGAAAGACAAATTAAAAATCAAAGCAAAGACTATCCTGTTCCTTTTTATCCATTTTACACAGTAAACATGTCTATTATTATTATTAACACTGTTTGTGATGAAAATAATGATTATTTATTAAAAGAGAAATATAGACTGAACATGGCTTTATTTACATGTGGTTACAGCTGCAAAACTCTACTAAGTTAAACAACATCTCTATGAAACCAATTCATGTTGCACAGCACTGGTAAGACTATTTTGAGCACATTAGGTGAAACGAAGTAGGAACCTTTCAGAACACTGTGACTTAAAACTCACAGTCCAACACATTCAACTGCACATTTCAACATCTCCTTTTTTTGGTTGTGTTTGTGGTTTTTAGGACTCCTTGTTCTTCTTTGCATTAAAGATAGTTAAAAATGACATTGACTGTACCTAGCAGCGCCCCTGCCTGTGAATTTGTGTATCGGTACCATTACCACAAATTCCAACTTATTTAAATTCTTTTGCCCCATTTTTTCCATTTTTTTTTACCAGATTTTGAATAAAACATATTACATTTATAAAACCATCACAACGGCATGTTTTAAACTCCCTTAAACATATACACAGCGCAGTGAATTATAATTACATTGTGAATACCATCAGTGTTAATTGAGATATAGCAGATTTCCAGGGCTGAATACAGAGACTTGTGATCCTCAAAATATTCAGATCTTCTGTATGATTCACTGGGTTTCATTACGCTGCAGCACCAGAGCTCATTACTGTCTGCTACATAAGGGGATGAAATGAAAATAAAACTCAATTTAAAATTGATTCCATGGTGTATAATATTTATCTAAAGTCAACGACTGGAATAATCAATTCAAAGAGAAACATTTTTTAATTTGCCCAATATCATTTTATTCTAGATGTATCATCATGTCAGCACGTAAATGCACACACACTCCCATGTGTCATTTGCCTCAATTAATTATTTTGAGGAAATATTAAAAGCATGAGCCCTATACATATATACACATATATGCATATATATGCACATATCCATATATGTATACTATATACATACATACACATGACAATGACAATCACAATAACAAGTAGTTCACTTTCCTTTTCTTTCCTTTCCTTATGCAAAACACCGGGACACCCCACTGCTCTAACGGCCCTTGTGGTCAGTTTGTCTTCTCTGGAAATGCCCTGATGCTCGTCCACCTTTGACACTGACATGCTGTCTAGCACACTAATTTTGTCACTGAACAATGCAGCCATTCTTAACCACCACGCCGTGCATCTGTTTGTCCATTCATCTATCTTATTACGTTAATGCAGGATCTTCCCTCCTTTTCTTTTTCCAGATTAGTCCACCACTCATTCATTCCTTTAGG